TATAATGCAATTTGTGTATGTTAATTCATTTGTTGAACATCCTTCACATGATACTAAACATTTGTTATTATTATTATTATTATTATTTTTTATGTAAACAGTTATGTTTATTGTTCGGTATATGCTTGAATGCTCTTTTACTTTCTTGCTCATTATGCTCTTTACTCTTTATCTCTCGGTTCAATCATAGAAAAAATTATATATTTTTTTTCTTAACAATAATTATGCTCGGAATTATTATCGTTAAAGATGGAAAAACTCCAGCAAAATACCACCACGAGAGATTGGGATCTGCTGGGCTTTCGTTGCACTATGCAAATATCATCAACCAAATAGATACGCTCGTGAGTTCGCCATTCCAATTATTGTGAAGTATCTTTGGTTATTTAATATTTCCTTAAATAATTTTCTTTCTAAAATGTTCCTTCTAATGTTTGCCAAATCTTTAATAGTTTTGATTTTTTTCATTTTATGTCTGTAAATTTTAATCAGGTAACGAGATCTAATTCGGTGCCGCCGAGCACTAGAGATGCTCTGTATCAGGGACTGCCACCGACTATAAAATCTGCTTTGCGTTCCAAATTACAATCTTTTCAGCTAACGAAAGAGGTAGTTTTCGTTTTTTCATGACACTCAAATGTTGTATTTTGCAATTTGAGAAACAAATGATGCTTTAAGTAGAGCTACAATGTGATGTGAAAATTTCTTTGTTACATTATACAGTTAACGGTCCCACAAGTCAAAGCAGAAATGGAGAAAACACTTCAATGGCTGGTCCCCATGGCCACTAATACAACCAAGTAAAATCGCTTTCTCTGTTAAACGAGACCTCTTTTCAGGGGCTCGATTACATTTAATGAAATTTATGTTTCTCTTGTTTTCATGAGAAGTCCTTGTTCTTGAGTTTAATGAAGGCCGAGTTGCATAATGTGCCGGGAACCCATTTTGTTTATATGAATCATATTTTGTGTCCCCTTATTGTCTTTTTCCATTGTTTCTTTGTGAAAACTACAAAAGATCGAAAATGAAAACACAGAAAGCCCCCACCCCGTTGACCCATCGAGTGTTGAATTTTTGTTGTCTTGAAGGTGTAACCTGTAGAATAGAACCAAATACTCAAGGGTCCTCAGAAAAAGAAGCTAACAAGTGGGTTTATAGTAAGTTGTTTGTATAGATGGGTTGAACTTTCTATACTAAGACTAAACTTTGAAAGTTGACATTTTTAAATAGTTCTTAATTTCTCTTTTAGTGCAAATTGCTCTATACTCAGTGCACCTTTTTGACTATGTGGCATAAAATAATGTTAAAAACAGGCTCCACCATGGCTTTGGATGGGTTGGAGAATGGGCAAACACCGGGTTAGTTTGACATTTTCAAGACTCCACTTTTTTTTTTTTTTTTACCAGCCAGAAATCGAGCTCGAGCTCAGCTCGTTATCAATATTAACGAGCCGAAATATAGAAAATTATATAAAAATTCTCTTTTCGAGTCTTATCGAGCCGAGCCCGACTCGTTAACAAAACGAGCTTTAAGCAAGCCGAGTCGAGCAGAGCAGAGCTCATAAGCAGCTCGTTTCGTTTAACAGCTGGGCCTTTTGTATTATACAATTACTACTATTGCAATTTACTAAATTCCTCGTCTCAATCAAGATCCGATATGAGCCGCCAGCCGGCTGGCCACACGGACCTCCTCCGGATCGAGACCCTCCACCATGCGGACAGGGAGAAAACCGAGGCCCACATACTCGACCTTGTGGTGTGGCTCCATCACCTCATAGCCCAATCACGTGCCTCCACCGGGGCCGGGCCCAAATCCCCCATCCGGTCCCCCAACCAGAAGGTCCTCCTCCAGCTGTCGGCCCAAAAGCCCGTCTCGCCCTCAACGGGCCTATCAGTCGAGGACCAACTAATGCTCCATGGAGTTAGCAAACGTAAGCTAACGCCGGGGATTAGTAAAAGCCAGGAATTCGATACCTCCAGCACGAGGCTTCTGTGCAAAAACCACCGGCTGAGCAGAAGCAGCAATCACTCCCCGACTCGAGAGAATCGGGACCCGTTTTTGGTCAGGAGGCCATTCTCTGTCCCAGTCATCGATTTCGAAATCGATCGGATCAAGGCTTTGGATGTCATCGACAGGGTCGACACGATCTGAGGGGCAAAATGGTAAAAAGGATGGAAATTTACCGTGTTCGGTTCGGATTTTCGGGTTCTTTGTATAGAGTGACAGTAATTTGTTTTTGTTGGCCATCTTTGTTGTTTTGCATTTTGCATAAATCTGAGGTTTGTAGCTTGTGGTAAATCGGGAGTTATATATATTTTTTTTTTTAGTTTTTACTTTTCAGTTTTTACTGCGTTCTTTGAGTTTTTTGAGTTTCAGGCTTTCAGCTGATGTATTGCTTTTAGGTGGTATAGTTAAAATATGGAATTTTACTTTTTTTTTTTTTTTAATTTATTTCAATATAGTTCTCCGTTTTGGGGTATATTTACTGAACTATGACTGCCAAATCTGTAATATTTTCCGTAATTTGTGTTTTGCGGATTAATCTCTTTCTATTGAGGTTAAGTTGAGTAGCTCATGTTCGAGTTCGTGTTCGTGTGATTGCATTCGTTTAATAAACGGATCAAAGGCTCGCCTAATTTTCTCTCTTTTTAAGCTAGGCTCGACTTGACAAATATACATAAAACTTTAAACGAGTTGTTTGGACATTTCGACAAATAGACATAAAATTTTAAACGAGTTGTTTGCAACCATAAAATGTCTATTCGCGAACAAGTTCGATTAGTTTATTCAATATACAAGTTAGATTGATTGCATGAACTCGACTTATATGAGTAAACTCACTATCTAAGCTAAAGTTTTCACGAACCGAATCGAACTATGATCTGAAAACACTTCAGCTAGATTTTTCCTTATGATTTGGACTTGGATTACTATTCTAGGTTTTCTTGAATTTATTTTTTTTATATATATAATATATTAATATTACGTTAAGGTGATAGCATCTACTTCATGTAATGACATCAGCAGCTAAAAATATGGAATTCGTAATTGACCTACACAATTTTCGGCAGAGTTGACTTTCAAAATTATGGTCTTCTTTTGTCCTTTACTTATATATCATGCTTACATGGGTATTGCATATTTACAAGGGTTTTACTAAAAATATTATATAAACAATTTATATATCACTACATTATTATGTTTTCGATTAGAGGTTTTTTTTTTAAAAAAAATATAAGAATATATTTATATATTATTGCATCTTATTTACTTTATAAGGGCTTTAACAATGCTAACATCTTATAATTACTGCAATTTATTAAAATTTAAGTTATGATAGGTGGTGATCTTTATTTAGATTTTTACAAAAAATACACACCTTCTTTTTTAGGTTGATTTTTTTTTTTCTATTTTTGTTTATTTATTATTTTAAACTATTTTCATTTGTACATTTATAATAAATATTAGAGGTGTGGAAAGGTTATAATAAAAGCTTAAGAAATAGATAAAATAGCAAAAGTATGAAAATAATAGTTATTATAAAGTATTGCGGTTTTTAGACTATGGCTGCAAACGAGTCGAGCGGCTCACGAGCCGCTCGCGAGCGCTCGAGTCAAAGCTCGCCTCGAGCAGCTCGAATACGAACTCGAGTCGAGCTCGAGCTCATATTTTGCATTGTCGAGCGGCTCGTCGAATGTATATATTAAATTACTAAATATATATTTAAATAGTATAACACAAGTGCTTAATGATAGTTTCACTAAAAAATTTTGAGCCGAACTCGAGTCGAGCTCGAGCCTCATAAATCGAGCTCGAGCAGCTCGATAAGGCCAATGCTCAATCAGCTCGGCTCGTTTGCATTTGTTCTAGTTGCACTACAGGAAAGTGATAAAATTTTAATGAAAATATTCCAACTGATCATATATATATTTCATTGAAATTTCAACAACAATTTCAAATGAATTTCAATGTTTTTTGTTCTAAATTTTCCAACTAGTTCAAAAACAAATATATTCTTTTCGAATGATTTTTTCATTAAAATATCTTTGGATTTAACAATTCAAACGAAAAAATTTCCAACATTTGAAATATAACTAAAAAATATTTCAACGAAAATTCTAACGGCAATAAACCATTAAAATATAACAACTATCGAAATCATCTAATTTCAACTAAAATTTCAATAAAAAAACTCATTTCAATATTTTCGTTAGAATTTTCCAACGAAAATTCTATCATTGGAATATTCACTGAAATGTTATACCATTCGATTTTTTCGTTAAAATTTAATATTGTTTTTTGTAGTATTGTTTTTTAGTCTGTAATTTCAATATTTACTAATACAAGTCAACCGTTTTATAAAATATAGTAATTAAAACGAACGTAATATCTCCATAATGATTTATAAATATATGATGGATAGTGATACAATTCATATATGAAATAGTTCATTTTTTTATTTTACGTATGTATAAGACATTAAGAAAATGTATTATTATTTATTATTTTTTTATTATTAATAATAATAATAATAATAATAATAATAATAATAATTGCTGTAAAAATTAATAAAGCACAAATTTCAAAGTTACAATAGACTTTATTTAGGTCAGAGCATGTATAGGCATTAGGCTCTAACTGTACATTTAAATATTTAATATGTGTATTGATGGTAGCAACTTCGAAATGCTCGCCTTTGACATGGAAACTATAAAATATTATCCTTCCACAAATTTTATTTTAATTAGTACTACAAAATTTAATTTTATCAAGTAATATTGTTCATGTAATATAATGAATTTACCCTTTATTCACATATAAATAAAATAGTATAGTACGTATTTTTTATGTTTGTCAAAAAGCAAGTCAACGATTATGCAATAATAAATGCTATATCTAGTAATTAACCTTGGACGTTTTTTTTATTGTTTATCCATTAAATAGTTGCCTAAATTAGTCAATTATAATCATTCATTTAAATTTAAACCACTGAACATCATTAGTACTGATTGAGATAATCTCACCAAACTTATCCAAACTAGTAATAACCTATACATAAATACAATAATACAAGTTATATTTATGAATATAATGTTAAATTATAAATTAAATGATGGACATATCATATTTTCAAAAATTAATTATTACTAAAAATTAAAAGTGTAGATATAAATTATTTTAAGTATAAATAAATCACTATATTTATAGAAAAAAAAGTTTGAGGGATGTTGTAATTGTTAATTTTGAGGTATCATATCCAATTAATTTAGTTATATTATTATTATTATTATTATTATTATTATTATTATTATTATTATTATTATTATTATTATTATTATTATTATTATTATTATTATTATTATTATTATTATTATTATTATTCATAAGACTTTAAGGTGATTTGAATATACTATTAAACTATTAGCCGTTTTTCTTATAAGGAAAATCTTTCTAGATATACTAAATATTAATTAAAAAAAAGATAATATTATTTTTATGCTTATGTAATTTCTATATGACATTTAATGTAAATTATTAGTAGTTGGTACTAGTATTAACTATTATATAATATAATGATAAAAAATATATATTTACACTTAATTAAAATAATTGTAAGGATTTTCTACCATAAGTAGCTAAAAATAGGCAAAAAATATTACTAGGTGAAGTTAAATAAAATATAAAAAGACAAATACAACCAGATTATTAATACGGAGATTGTAAAACGACTTTTTTGATAATCTATAGTCTTAATATTATAAAATTATAATTTTAAGGAAGGAAAAAATTGTATAAGTGTATGC